TGAAAGCACTAGGAATCACTTCTTCTGAGCTGGTTTAAAGAATTTGTGATGTTTCACCTGGGGCTCTAATCACATGGCAGCCCACCACAGGCTTTATAACTCAAAATCAGCCTCGCCACCCACTAGCTCTATGATCTTGGGCACAATTATGTGACCAATCTAATTATGTTCCTCATCTATAAAGTGGGATTATAGACCTAACTTCTAGCACTGTTATGAGGGCTAAGTGAGATAATGCAAAGCAAGTGTGCAAAAGTGACAGCTGATGGCAGGACATATAGCCATAGATAGGTGAAATTTATCTCAGTGAGGTTATAATACAAATAGTATAAAGATCACTGTCAGAGTCAATGCTTTCCCTTAAGAGTTAAAGATGGACTAAGGTGCAACTATTGGTCTCTCCTCATCCGGAGCAAAGAAGAAGGAAGAAAATCAAAGACACACAGAAATAAGTAGTCCAAGGAACTAGTGGACCACATGAACCTCAGCCTTCACAACCCTGAGACCAGAAGAACTAGATGGTGCCTGGCTACCACTGCCAACCACTCTGAAAAGGATCACAACAGAAGGTGGGAGAAATATGTGGAACAAAATTCAAAATAATAAAAAAAATACACTCAGTTGCAGGCTAGACGAGACGGGCTTATTGGTCTGATAGAGACTGGTTGAACCCCTAAGACTCTGGTCCTAAGTGATTCTTCAAGCCTGGAACTGAAGGGTCAGCCCCATGGGTCAACTTTCAGCCAAACAATAAACAGGTCTATAGTGTTAAAAATAACACCAAGGAGGTACATACTCCTTAGAACAATCAACCATACCAAATCAAAAGGGCAGTACTTGCCCAAGGATAAAGCTCAGAAGTCAAGAATGGATAGGCAGGAAGGACAAATGGAGATGGTAACCACAGAGAGAAAATGGGAAGAGTGCTGTTACATTGTGGGAATTGTATTCAATGTCACGAAATAAAATGTGTATGAAGAGTTGTATGGAAAACCAACTTGTCTGTAAACTCACTCATCACAATAAAGAGGTAAATAAATAAATAAATCTAAGACAAGACAGAAAAAAAAAGGAGTCAAAGATGAACACTGGCCATTTAGAATATTCGGAAGAAATGAAGCTGGAAATCACACAAGGCCTACTGTGACGAAAGTATTATAAAAACAAAACAAGACAAAAGGTTATGTGACTATATGCCTAAATGCTATGCACTCAACAACAGGAACCCTTATTTCATATATAACTCACTTTCTAATAAATATACTGTCAAACTCAGATCATCCTTTCAGTGGTTTTAAACAAATTATGATGACTTAAGTTACTTTAAAAAAAATACAATCTATTTTTGTAAAACAATTTTTATTCAAGCTAAATCCAAAGTATTTGTAAAAATCAGTGGCATCTATTCAAAAGGGGTTCAAATGGGAGAGTTGAAAGAAATTAATGGCAGAAGCCATTACATGGCTGATTTCATACAACCTAATACAGCTGTCTTTAAGTGCTTACACATCCAAACATCAGTCCCTCTCCATGGGTGAGTAGCCATTTAAACTCCTAAGTAAGAAAGCAAGCCAATTGCACTTACTTGACTACCTGGGGGGAGAGCAGGCGGCTGGCTGAGGAAAGCTTTTATGGTCTGATTCATTCACTCACAAACACGCTGAGTGAGTGCCTGTGTGTGTGGGATTGGATTCTCACTGCCAAGATGGGATCAATGTGACTTTCTATTAAAAAAAAAAAAAAAAAATTGTAACATCCTTTTTCACAATATGCCTATTAAAATCTCAGTCATCTCTCAAGCTCAAGATCAAATGCCCCCTTCAAACAATGCCACTGCTGACCCTCTATCCCCTCAAATCTCAACCCCAGTCAGAACGAACCACTCCCCCTTTGATGCTACTAATGCCTATTGATCAGACTTCACTGCTTATATCCATCAGATTAGGGCCATCTGTTTACCCTGCCACAGGAACTACATGCTCCATCCATCTAAAAGCACATGATAAAACCACCTCAGATATCAAGCTTTATATTAGGTGTTGAAAATAACCAGGTGAACAAAAAACAGTTCTTGTTTAAAGGAGCACATGGCTCAGTGAACAAGTCAGACAGACAATATTTTAATTTCAGCAAGCACAATGCAGTAGTGCTAAGTACAAGGCAGGCTACTAAGATGGCAAGGAGTGAGAGATTCAGGATGGCTTCACAGACAGGGATGCCTTGAGGGCCTCTTGGAGGATGAGCAAGTACATACCAGGCATAGGGCAAATCAGCCTCTGTGAAGACGGCATCAAACAGCACCACATGTCTGGGAACTCGCAGGAAGGTCACTGTTGTTAGGGTTGGTGGAGGAAAACAGGGAGAGAAAGGAGAAGCTGGAGCACCAGGCAGCAGTCAGATCAAAATGGGCCTTGTGACCTATGTTTGCAATGCTAACTTTCTAGGCAACAAGGAGCCACAGAAAAAGCCCCAGAGGAAGAGGATCACAGCAGCATCTCAGGTGGCAATAGAGGAGACAGAGGAATCAACAGGGTAAACGTGGAAATGGGGAGACAGTTATAAGGCTGATACACTCAGATGCAGGCTAGACGAGACAAGACGAAAAGGCCTCAGCTAGGGAAATGGTATGAAGGGTAGGACTGCCTTCTAAAACACTATTCACTATCTGGAATTATTTGGTTAATTCATTTACTTTCCCATCCAAATAAGAGCTTCAAGCCAGAGACTCTTCCAACTCATGTCTATATTCCCAGTCTTAGAACAGAGTATTGTGTACAACAGGTGCTCAGTAAACCCCAGTTAAATAAAATCCCTCAAGGGCAGGAACCCTGGCTAACTGATAAACATATTCCTCAACACTTTATGCAGTATGTCATATATAAAGAAGGCTCAAAAACATGTTGATATATTTTAAAAATGCACTTGTTCTAGATTTTTCCCAAATAATGACATCAAATTACTTTGGTGAAAAGTTCAAAGACAGAATTTTTCCAACCATCAGCTTTGCACATCCCACCTGGGTATCAAGGAATCCAGCTGGGACCTTTCTGCTTCATAAATCATTGCTGGCAACAAAACCTCGGCAATTAAAGCTCAGCTGTTGGATGTACTGACCATGGGCAGGACAGCCAGCAACACAGCAGGGCCATCCAAGTTGGTGTGACAGCATGGACTGCATCAGGAGGGCACACCATTCCTGGGGGCTGCAGCCTCCACACAGGGTTCCACAAACCAGTGACCATGGAGGAGATTTTCCATCAGAGGATGGATAAAGGGATTTACTTTCTCTGTTATAGCAAAAACCAATAAAAGGGCAGGTTTTTAACTCTTCTGAAGTGAATATACCAAGCTCAACCCATCAGCTTGACTGACTCATTCCCCATGGTCTACACCAGTCCTCCAACTGCCAGGGCTTTAAGTCAGCTGCCTACTCACAGGGACTCTGCCAACAGTAAGCTGGTTTTAGAAGAGTGTCCTATACCTCTGAGAAGACAGGCCCCTGATGGTGTCTCCACTAATGTCAATCAAAAATCCTCTGGGGGGAGGCGGCACATGGCATTCAAAACATAAAAACCTAAGCACAGACGCTAAACCAGGATTCAGGCCTGGGTACAAATTCCAATTCTGCCACTTACCAGCTGTGTGACCATAAGCACATGAGTTAACCTTTCTGTGTCTCAATTTTCTCATTCGTAAAATAGGAATAATCCTCTCTGCCTTGAAGAGTCCAGAGAGACAAAATGAGGGAACCCACATAATGTGATAAACACGGTGACTAATACCCTTAGCTTAAGTGGGAGTGGGAAGTTAATGAAAAGCCACCTTGTATGGAGCAGGCCTCATGGGGTGTCATACACAGGGTGACGAAGTATTAAAACTGACAGCTTGCAGCTTCTGCCCCTTCTATACTTGAGAAAGTTACAAAATCCAAGTGGCAGAGGCTGTCCCAAGTACATAAAGGAGGCTAATCTGTTTGCAAAGGGAGGAAATAGCACAAGATGAAGATTGTAAATTGTTTAAAGCTTCTTCCCTAATTAACCACCCATAATGAAAATTTAATTGCCAAGTTAAAAGCAAATTTCACTTTTTCTGTCAGAGAATCTCTGCAGAAACTGGCACATTCTGTTTGAACAGGAAATCAAAGTTACTTTAATGCTTAAATGAGATCTAAGGAGCTGCAGATGTTTCACTGGGAATAACAAGCTTCAGAACTCTGCCTACTGGGTTGTAGCAACTTGTGGCTACAGGGTGGGAAAAAAAAACTTGTTTTGAGCTGAGTAACTCAAAGAGGTGGAGGTGATTCAAATTCCCAGTGCCAGGCACTCTGGGGAAGAGTGGAGAGAGGGTGGTACAGAGAGTCTCTAGCATCAACGGGCTTACAATCTAGCAGGGAGATTGAACAGGAAACATGCCAAGATTAGGAAACTGCAATCAGGAAACCTCTGGGTCTTGGAAGAATAGCCAAGAAACAAAAAAGTGCTTTCCAACCTGGTCCTGGCACTATGGCCCCTGCAAAGAAGGATGGTGAGAAGGTCCATTCTGCTATCAACAAAGTGGTGACCAGAGAGGCACCATCAACATCCACAAATGCATCCAGGCAGTGGGCTTCAAGAAGTATGCCCCTCAGGCACTCAAGCAGATCAAGAAATTTGCCATGAAGAAGATGAGAACACCACATGTGTGCATGGACACCAGGCTTCACAAGCTGTCTAGGCAAAAGGAATAAAGCCTGTCCCATACTGTATCCATGTACGGTTGTCTGGAAAAATGTAGTAAGGATGAAGATTCGGCAAACAAGCTCTATACATTGGTTATCTATATACCATTCATCATTCTCAAAAGCCCACAGTCAGTGTGGATGAAAACTAATAATAGCTGATTATCAAATAAAGTTATAAACCTGCAAAAAAGAAAAAGAAAAAGAAACAAAAAGGCAACCCTCTTGAGGGTCCTTCCTCGAATGCTTGTCTCAATTCTGACCCACATGGCTGCCCGCTTACCTGCAGGGTGCTGGTGAGGAAGTTGTCCTGGGAGACAATGTCCACAAAGAAGTCGGGAGGGATCTCACCAAGCTGGTGGTACAGAATGGAGATGAGCTTGATGTAGAGGGTATGGTGCTTCACCATGGCTTCTTCTGAGCGGCACAGGAGGTTCAGGAGGCGCTTCCAGTGCTCAAATGCCTCATACACGTTCCCCAGCAGGAAGCACACAAAAGCAAACTGGAGTTCACCTGAAAGGCACAGAGAGAAATGACCCTCAACACCTCATGCATGTTCTCCAGCAGGAAGCATACAAAAGCAAACCGGATTTCACCTGAAAGACGCAGAGAGAAATGATCCCGGGGAGAGGAAGACAGGCTGATTCTGCACTAAGGTCACTACAGCACACGTATGTCTACCTTATGCTGCTCACAAGGCAGTCAAATCCACTGGACCTCAGTAACAGGTGGCCTTTCCCCCTTGCCACTCCTGCAGAGCCTAGCACAGGGGTCTGTACCTAGCAGGTGTTCAAAAAATTTTACACACATGAAATAAATTCAAGCCACAGGAGACCAAACTGTGGCTTTAGGTTTCTATAAAATCAGACAGCAAGAGAAGAGGGATAGCGTGGTATTTGCCTGGCATTTTAAGAGTTTACAAAATATGTCCATGGATATTGTGCCAAGTGGATCCCAAACCTGGATGCCTGTTCCACCCCTAGCCACTTAAGAGAGCTGGCTAACGATAAAACTATCCAAACCTTATTCCCAAAGATTCTGGTCAAGGACAGATGATGGAGCCTTCGTATCTGTGCCTCTAAAAAGCTCCCTGGGTGATTCTGAAGCAGAGACTCTGCTCCAGGGTCAGGGAAATGCTGCCTTACATCACATAATCCTCAGCCCAGCTCCATGAGGTGGTCAGGGAACATGGTATTGACCTCATTTTATAGATGAAGCTGAGGGACTTGCCCAAGGTCACACATCTAATGCTGTGGCAACGTGAACAAGAGAAAGATAAAACATTCCCTACTGGGTGAGAATAGTTCTAGAGCCTTTCACAACAGTACTTCTTCTAGCAGTTAACCTGCCAGTAAGACTATTTTTGCTTGTTTAATCACCAGACTCTAAGATTTAATCTCTAAGAGTAGCTTGGTGACCAAGACCATGGGTCCTGGAGCCAGAATGGCTGTGTTCAAATCCCAGATCCAACACTTAGCAGCTGTGTGACTTTGGGCAAGTTTCCTAATATGTTCATGCTTCAATTTCTTTATTTGAAGGCTGTCATGAAGAGTAAATGAATCAAGAGTAAATGTAAAGCATTTGAAATAATGCCAGGCACACAGTAGTACTCAATATTAGCTACTATTCCCATATTCCTACCAGACACTTCTCAAACAAATAGACCTAATGATCCAGAAGCTATTGTCCCTGGGCAGCAACTAGTCTTCTGGATGCCCTGGATATACTGTTGATCAGAGCTATTTTCCTGGCTTCAAAGGTAGCTATAAATTTAATGAGGCCTTCTTCTGTGGTATATACACGTAAGCCATAAAGAAGCTGATGTGGTGGTGGTGATGTTGTCGTTAGGTGCCACTGAGTCGGCTCCAATTCATAGCGACCCTATGTACAACCAAATGAAACAATGTCCTGTTCTGAGTCATTCTCACAATCCTTGCTATACTTGAGGCCATCGTTGCAGCCACTGTGTCAATCCATCTTGTTGAGGGTCTTCCCCTTTTGCACTGACCCTCTGCTTGATATCCTTCTCCAGGGAATGGTCCCATACTGACAACATGACCAAAGTAGGTGAGACGAAGTGCAAAAACAGCAAAGAGGCCACATGTTCCGACCTCCTCTAATCCCACAAGAGGAAGACAGGATTACCAGCAGTAACCCAAGGCCTACTACTGCAAGACCAGACATGCTGCCTCCCTCCAGCCCTCTCTCCAACCGTTCCTCCCAAAGCACCCACCACCTCTCTCCTGGGTTCGGTAATTCACTGCAGTGGCCACACAGAACTCACAGATTATGGGGTTTATTAGGGAAGCACCAGGCTACAACTCAAGTTCAGGAAGAACGCTCAGTCTCTCTCCCAGCCCAACGTCCCTCAGCCAACAGTCTCTCACAGTCTTTTTCCCAGCAGTGCTGGTCCCTCGGTGTCTCACTCAGCAATGCGTGTCTCTCGCGTCTCTTTCCCAGCAGCACGTGTCTCTTTCAGGGGCGAGTGTCTCTTTCAGCAGCACGTTTTCCTCCACCAGCAGTCAGAGAGAGAGTTCTGCCTCCAGGAGGCCTCCTTTTGAGCCCGGAAGGGTGGTCAAACTAGCCAATCACAGCATCAGAACTCTAAGCACGTGAGAGAAAGTGGGAACCTCCCAGAACATTATATTGTGCCACGCCCAACAGAAATAACCCAGGTGGATAGCTCCTCAGTTGCTCATAGAAAATCCCACCTTGGAGTTTACAAAGACTTATGGGTAGAAAAGCCACACTAAGTAATTTACTACACTGCACGAAGTTAGCCCACTCCTGCTTCCAAGAAGCATTCTGGCTGCACTTCTTCAAGGACAGATTTGTTAGTTTTTCTGTCAATCCATGGTATTTTTAGTATTCTTCACCAACGCCATTAATTCAAAGGCATCAACTCTTCTTCAGTCTTCCTTATTCACTGTCCAGCTTTCATATACATATGAGGCTGTTGAGAATACCATGGCTTGGGTTAAGTGGATCTTAGTCCTGAAAGTGACATCTATGCTCTTTTTAACACTTTACAGAGGTCTTTTGCAGCAGATTTTCCCAGTGTAGTATCACATCTGATTTCTTGACTGCTGCTTCCATGGGTGTTGATTGTGGATCTAAGCCTAATGAAATCTTTGACAATTTTAATCTTTTCTCCATTTACTGTGATGTTGCTTATTGGTCCAGTTGTGACGATTTTTGTTTTCCTTATGTTGAGGTGCAATCCATACTGAAAACTCTGACCTTCATCAGTAAATGCTTCAAGTTATCTTCATTTTCAGCAAGCAAGGTTGTGTCATCTGCATATTGCAGGCTGTTAATGAGTCTTCTTCCAATCATAATGCCCAGTTCTTCTTCATATAAAAACAGATGTGCTCAACACCAAATACCAAATAATCATGGCATTTAATCTCTGTCACCTCCAGAGATGTAGAAAAACTAGTTCCTTGTTCCTAGGCTTGTGGAACTAAGTTTGATTTGTGTGAACAGCTGCCTGGTCTATATACTGTGGACGTTTGACCAATATTTTCAAAATATAGTCAAATTTTCTTTGTATAATAGAGGTATATTTGCTTCTTCAGTTGGCTTTGCCTGGTTAGTTTATGAAACTAAATATAAGTTTATTCTCTGAATTTAGGGCATTTGTATAAATTCATGCATTTCTGGCCTAGTCTAAAATTAAATTATGGTATTAGAAATCATTTCAAAGCACTGTCAGGTAGATTCAAAATTATCCCTGTAACAGATCTTTTCAAAAGATATACCATGAAGAACTGAAATGTTTAAGAGGTAGAAAATCGGATTTCTATTCATTCTTAACTCAGTATTTCAACTGTTACTTATTAAATGAAAATGCTGTGTAATGCATTAAGATGCAACCACCAAAATGCACCTTTTTATTAGCTGGGTCAAGGGTACTATATTAAATCTCTCACCAACCTTTCAGGAGGAAAATATGCAAATGACCTGGATAATTTATAAAAGAAAAAATACAAAAGGCTGTTAAAGATATGAAGACTGTTTGCTGTCACTAGTGATCCAAGAAATATAAATTGAAACAAGATGACATTTTTCAACCATTCAGTTGGAAGAGGCCTGTGTTAAATCACCACGCCCAATGCTGTCAAAAGTGATACCAGATGCTCCCACCTGCTAGAGAGGATGCAACATGCACACTCTGCTCCAACACTTCTAACCCTGAATGTGTGCACAAGTACACACAAGGATGTTCCTTAGATGGTGTTTATAATAGGGAAAAACAGAAGCATCTTAAACGCCCATCAACAGAAGCCTGGTTCAATTAACTATGGAACACCAAGTAATCATGGAAAAACCAAAACCAAACTCACTGCTGTCGAGTCGATTTTGACTCATAGCAACCCGTCCTTGGGTTTCTGAGGTAGTATCACTACAGAAGTAGATTGCCCAGTCTTCCTTCTGAGGAGTGGCTAGTGGGTTTGAACCACCAGTCTTCTGGTTAGCAGTCAAATGCCTTAGGCACTACGCCACCAGAGCTCTCGATCATGAAAGAGGAACCACCAACTCAGTGGTATGGACAAATGTTTCTATTAAAGACTGGAAAACACATACTTTAATCTTATTTTAATAAAAATATATTTAAATATATATATATAAATAAATTTAAAATACATAGTCATAATTATATATACACACAAATACATAAATTGAATAAAAAAGACTACAAGGAAATACATAGAAATATATAAACAAAAGACTGAAATGAAATACATAGACATATAAAGAAAAAGATGGCAAGTAAAGACTCCAAAATGTAAAAATGGTCATTTCTCTGGGATCTTAAAAGCTAGCAAGCTGCCATCTAGATGCAACGATGGGTCTCTCCTCGTCAAGAGCAAAGAAGAAACAAGAAAACCAAAATTAATGGAAACAATCAGTCCTAGTGACTGGTACACCATCCGATCTGCAACCTATACAACTATGAGACCAGAAGAACTAGATGGTGCCCGGCTACCACTGTCATCCACTTGGAAGGGATGTAGGAGATCCTGGATAGAGAGGGAGAACAATGTGGAACAAAATTCAAAATCATTTGGAAGGGGAAAAAAAAAAAGAGAGAAGGTGAGGACCAGGTTTGCTGGTCCAATAGAGCCTGGTGGAACCACTGAGACTATGGCCCCTAGCTGCCCTTCAGGTCTGGAATTGAACCCACACCTGTGGTTGCCAGCCAAACAATGTACAGGCATGTGAGTTAAACATTTACCTCAAGTAGACACATGCCCTAGAGAGAACAATCATGGGAGAAGGAAGGGCTGTTTATGCACAGGGAGACAGCTCAGGGGGCAGGAGTGTATGGAAGGATGGGAAGAGGTAACTATGAGGAGGAAATGGGAGGGGAGCTGTTGCATTGTGGTAAACTGTGGTCAATGACATGAGACAAAGTATATGTGAGCTGCTGTATGGAAAGTGAATTTGCTATGTAAATCTTCACCCAAATAAAAATTAATTAATTAATTATTTTAAAAAATGGTCATTTCTAGGTAGTGAGATTTAGAGTGATATTTGTTTTTGTTTTTCTTCTATGATGAATATATATTATTCTTTAATAAGGAAAAAAAGAAACCCAACAACTTCTACAATGAACACGTATTATTTTTTTATAAAGAAAAACAAAACAAAATAACCAATAATAAGTATAAGAATTTAAAGAAATCATTGTCCTAGTCAAAGCCAGTGAAGAGACATCTTGAAAGTCAGAAGCAAACAGTGGCAGCAAGTGAGAAACTACTAAAAAAACAGGTCTGGCCTGAGAACCAGGAGCCCTGGTCTCAGTCTGACGACTTAGTTGGCCAGATCCTTTCCTTGTCTGGACCTTACTCTGTAAAATGAAGGGCTGGGAAACATCAGTGGTTTCTAAACACAGGATAGCCTGAGGTTCACACAGGGTGCTCAGATAGACAGACAGATAGAATGAGAGCTAGATCCCCACTCCAGATCTCTTGAATCAAAGTCTCCTCAGGATAAGGCCTGGGCATCTGTACCTTTAACAAGTGTACTGGGAAGCTGGCTGCCTAGCCAGGCTTAGGAACTACTGGACCAGAAAACCCAAGATTCTATAACCCCTATCCTAAAATCCCACGGCCCACCCTCAAAGAGCCTTGCTCCTTCTCACCGAGCACATCCTGGGGATTGTTGGGGAACTGCTTGCTGAGCACTGTCTCCAAGGCATAGCTCAGGTCCATGCTGTGCCTGGTTATCTCTGCTGGTGTGGCACCATCAGGGAACATCTGCGTGGGCAGCTCTGAGAAGCGGATAGCTGTACCAGCTCTGGGCTTCATCTCAGGCAGCCGAGCCAGGCCCTCCTGGTAGCTTTTGCACTCAGTGCCACATTGGGGTAGATTCTGTCCCACCCGGTCCTTGGTATGCTTCATGGAGAGTACAGGCAGCACATCTGAGAAGGCACAGATCTGCCGGCTCTCAGGCTGCAGCTTCTCCATCATGGCCTCGCTGATGAAGCTGGTGAGTGAAATCCACTTCTTGAGTGTGGCATATGGGTAAGGTCCTAAGAACTGGTCCAGCTCCTGGAGGTTGGCCCTCATGGCTTCCACCTCAGCTTCTGGGGCTGGAGACAGGTCTACCTCTTCCAGGACCGCATTCCAACGCAGGACTGTCAGCCCCCGCTGCTGCAAACTAAGGAAGAAGCCCATACGAGGGCCCACGTCCTTGGGATTGGCTTTATCCACAGAGCTGTAGTGGAGGAAGTGGATACCTGGGGGGATCATCTTCACGCCCCGGAACTTGGGCCCCACCTGCCAGGAGTTATAGTCAATGCCAAACTCTGTCCCCTTGGGCATGTTCAAGATGATCACAGTGGCCCCTTCAAAGAAGAGGCGCTTGGCAAGCTCTGGATCCATCTGCATGGCAGCCATAAGACCTGTGAGACGTGCCCACAAGGTGACTCCTTCTTTGTCTTCCAGAACAACTGAAAAAGAGAGAAATCAGAGTTAAAACAGAACTTGGGGGAGGAAGCTGCCTTTGCTGAGCAGTCTCTGTGACAGACACCGAGTTAAAATGTCCTCTGACATAATGATCTCCCTTAATCCTCACCACAATCCTGCAGGTGAGAATTATGAGTCTCATTCTACCGATGAGGAAAATAAGGCTCAGAGAGAAGAGGATTTTTATGTTTTGGTTTAATGAGCAAGAACACTCACTTCACAGGTAGGAAGCCACAGGTTAAACAAGTGATATACTCAGGGTCACACAAAGATCCAAATGAGAACTTGGGCAGCCTGCCCTTCAGGCCAGTGTTCTTCTCCCTGCTTACTCCTTAAGATCTACTCTCACAGCTCTCTTTACAATACAGGCTGCCCTAAATAAACTATAACTCTGTCTAAAACCTATGGCTGGAGAATCTCAGGAAAGCTGGGAGGGGTGATTAAAGCACGTACATACCCAATTTTCTACAAACCTTGGGGAAGGCCCAGAAATTGACAGATTATATTTAGGACACTATGGAAAGTGGGTGCTGAGCACCTAAAATCCACGAAAGGTTTAAGGAGTGGAGAACTTTCCAACCATAAACTCCCCTTCTCCTTTTACTCGTAAAAAACCCCCTAAAAACCAGAGGGTGAAATACCCTTCCAAAGTGTCCCCAGTCAGTGGCAGCTCTGGACTAGGATCAATATTCACAAGAGAAAGAGCTTAGAAGGCTTATTTCACCTACCTCTGAACTACCATGAGATTGTACTTATAAAACTTCTGTAAGTTTCAGCATGAGCTAATTTAAACCAAACAATTATCTAACTATCTAATCCCAAGACCCCTACCTACTCAATTCAACAGTGTTCACTGAATGCTGCACAGTGCCAGGATCTTTGCTGGATACTACAGGAAACATCCATAGAGTAAGACAGTCACTGCCTTCCAGGCACTTACAATCTAGCTGGATATACAACCAAGAACCTAAAATTTCACAGAACAAGCTTCCTGTTTAATCCTGTTGACTCTTTTCTCCTTTAAAACAAATTAAAAGAAAAAAAAAAAAAGAAGCTCATTGCCATCGAGTCGGATCCAACTCATAGTGACTCCTCCTTGGGTTGCTGAGATGGTGTCTCCACAGAAATAGATTGTCCAGTCCAGTCATCTTTCCGAGGAGTGGCTGGTGGGTTTCAACCGCCAGCCTTCTGGTTAGCAGTCAAATGCCTTAGGCACTATGCCACCAGAGCTCCAAACAAATAAAACAGTGCGGAAAATAAGACTAACCTTTTTCCAAAAATACTGAGCTCATATTTCATTTTCTACAAATAACTCCCTATGAATCTGCCTATTTTTCAAACTACAGCTCACAATCCATTATTGGGTTATTAAATCAATTTTAAGAATCCCAACCAGCATTTTCTTTTAAGGAAAATAACAGAAAAAACAAACAGAGTCTATCACATGTAGGAAAGATAAACACTTGTTTTCTGAAGCTCGTTCTGTGTGCGTGTGTGTATGTGTGTACACTTGGTTGCAACACAAAATGTATTTGTTACTATAGGCCGTGGTTAAAAAAGTTTGAATGTGGCTGTTCTAAATAATTTGCATCATCTTTCTGTGCCCTACCCTAAATACAAATGGTACTTAACATACATTTGTTGAATGAATAGACAGCCCACTTAGAAAAAAGTGCTGGTTAATTAACACTGGTCCTTTTGCCCTTGTAGTATCTATGTGTGCCTCCTTGATAACCACTATTCCTTTCACTCTAATTCCACCAGCCTGCAATTCTCTTTATCTCTAGCAGCCAACACATGGCCTGGCACAGAAAAGACGCTGGGAAAAGGTTTATTGAACATGCACAAAACTCTACCAATCAACCTCACAGTCCTGTGAGTTCCTCCCAGCCCTAGAACAGATTCATATCCATCCATTTCTCTCCACCAACTCCCTCAGCACCACCAAGCTACCAACATCCGTCACCCTAACACTGCTGATCCCTTCAATCTATTCTCCATACAACAGCCAGAGTGACCTTCTCAAAATGCCACTCTCATCATGTGACCACCCACATTTACAACCTTCTCAGTGGCTTCCCAAGAAGTTCTTGGCAAACTGAAATTCTTAGCGTGAAGTACAAAGCCTGCATGGTCTGACTCCTGGCAACGCCTTCAGCGTCCTTTCATACCACGTGCCCCCACAAGCTCTCTGTTCCCGCTACACTGGTCTATCTCAGACTCTCAAACAACAGGCTTCTCCCGAGTAGAACTCTCTTCCCTCTCCTCTTTGCCAAACCGTTTTTTTCTGACCTCATCTCTATTATCATCGTCTCAGTAAAGACTCCCCTGACCCCGTGGCTAGGGCGGGTATCCTGTGACAGACTCTCATGACACCTTGACCTCTCCATTTCACTTCTCACGGTTGTTTGATTGAGAGGTGTCACTTCTGCAAGACCGGAGACTGCCAGGCGTTTGTTCACCGTATCCCTAGCACATAGTAGGCGTTTGATAAACACTTATTTAATAAATTATGATCTCCATTTTGTAGACAGGAAACAAAGGATCGATGCGGGGAAAGCCCTTTGCCGAAGTCACACTGACAGCAGGGCAGAGCCAAGGCCTCCGGACCCTAAGCTCTAAAGTTAAGAAAAAAGCGAAGCTAACCCGTGTGCCCGGGAAAGCCTCGGCGGACAGTGTCTCTAGAGACGGCTACTCAACTAGAGACTCCAGCATCCACCACCCGCCCACAGATCGGGAGGTGGCCGCCCGGACGAGATGAGCCGAGTTCAGGGCACTCTTGTGGTCCCAGGGTCAGGAAGATGAGCAGCCCCGGGCACGTAGACAACCAAAGTAGGGAAGAAAAAGAAGCCAGGAGGCCGCACTCACCAGCTTCCGCCTCACCCCCAAGCACCCGCACAGCGGAAATGCACCGGAAATTTACTCACTTCACAGTCGGACCGGAGCAACGGAGAAAGCCGCCCGGTGGAGCTCTCAGTAGTGGAAGAATGGTCCGGGCGGGCAGGTTCCGCCCCATGAAATGTCGTTTTTTGCTACTCTTATCAAAAAACCAAACTCACTGCCATTGAGTTGATCCCAACTCACAGTGACGCCCACTGGGTTCCCAAGGCTGTGAATCTTTAGGAAGCAGATTGCCCCATCTTCCTTCGCAGAGTAGCTGGTGGGTTTGAACCACTGACCTTATGGTTAGCAGCCAAATTCCTTACTCACTAAAACACTCGTTTTTGTTCCTAAATCGTAGATGAAAATGTTCATTAAACTGCATTTTATATCCCCCTCCCAAAACGCCCCAGCCATAATCCCTTAGTCTCAAAAAGTCATAGTCATTGAAGCTGGGATCATGGTCATGGTTGTCCAGAAGTCACAGGAGTGCTCAGTCATGGTCCTGGTCAACCAATTTCTACCCGAGGCACAATGTCACAGCTGGCTCACTTCCAGCCACAACAGTTGTTGCTGTTGTTGTTAGATGTCATCGAGTTGCTTCCAACTCATAACAACCCTATGCACAGCAGAATGAAACATTGCCTTGTCCTGTGCCAACTCCATGATCCTTGCTATACTTGAGCCCATCGCTAAAGTCACTGTTTCAATCCATCTCGTTGAGGGCCTTCCCCTCCTTGGTCAACTGTCCACCTTACTAAGAATGACATCCTTTTCCAGGAACTGGTCCCTTCTGACATGACCAAAGCAGGTGAGATAAAGTTTGGCCATTTCCTTTTCCAAGGAGCATTCTGGCTTCACTTCCTCCAGAACAGATTTGTTAGGTCTTTTAGCAGTCTGTGGTACTCTCAGCATTCTTCACCAGCACCACAACTCAAAAGCATCAACTCTTCTTCGGTCTTCCTTATTCATTATCCAGCTCACCACACCAGTAGGAGATGTAATTAAGAGATTTATCACAAGGAATTTGCTCATGCTGTTGTGAAGACTGACTAGGCAAGTCCAAAATTCGTAGGACAGGCCATCATGAAGAGCAGGCTATCAGGAACTCCCTGGTACATGCCAAAACTAATATCTTTAGGTTGGATTTTTTCCTCTTCAGGGAAGCCTCAACTCTTTAAGGCCTTTCAACTGATTAGATCAGGCCTACCTGATTAGTTTCTCTTACATAAAGTCAACTAATTTTGTACTTCAATCACATCTACAAAATACCTTCACAGCAACATCTAGATAAGCGCTGAATAACTGGGGACTATAGCTTAGCCAAGTTGACACATCAAAAAGGCCATCAGAATGGTGTTCATATATTATCCAATCCCTACAGCCACGCTGGGAAGTAGTTCTTACCTGTGTAACTCAGACTTTATCCACTATAACTAATTTGCAACCAGGTTGGCTTGAGCCAAACTTGTTCTTACTGTGTAGTCACCTTGAGATCAGTTTTAGCACATCATTGCACCTCGTAAAGCCCCAGTACAACTTCAAAGCATTGAGAAATGATGTCTATCTTACTTGCCACTTCAGGGGATGATGAAGGGACACAGTAAAACTTTCCCTCATTTACCTGTCAATATTGTTGCTCTTTCCTAAGAGCTCCCCTAGAGCAGCTGCCTTGTACACTATTTTCTCCCCACTCCCACTACTCATATACTCTTTCTAGGCTTCTGCTTCCTCCTCTCAAAAATTCATCTGCTTTCAGTAAAATAAACTTGAACCAAACAGCATTCAACAAAACCCACATCCACCCACTCTAGCATACCTAAGGGAATAGGGTGTACATGTAGGGCAGAGTATTGCTCAGTTCATCCCACTACTCAGATACTATTTCTAATCCCTACACTAATCCTGTTATCATTAGGTGTTGTCAGTCGATTTTGAGTCGTAGATACTTGTGGTAATTCAGTTTGTGAGTCAACTTGGCTGGGCCTGGTTGAGTGGCTGGGCAGCTGGATGTAATATCCCCCATGATAAGACTGGTTATCAACTCTATGGTGGAATCTACTGTGAGCAGCTGAGGAGCTGCTT